TGTTTTGATTTATGATATCTCCATTTACTGACGGAGAAATGTTTTATATGGGGGGTTTATTGTGGATGAAGTATATCTGCAGGCTTCTCGGCTGTGTGCTCAGGGCCTCACTAGTTGTGCGGGGTGTATGGTTCCGGGGAACCTACACAAACAGATTGTGAAAGGATGGGGGTGTATATATATATATATATATATATATATATATATATATATATATATATATTATATATATATATATATTTATATATATATATATATTATATATATATATATATATATGTTTTAAAAAGATCTGTATCGTTTACTGGTTTTATGGGAACACACTAGATAACATATTCTGATCTCCTGAACCTAGACATCCGAAATATTTCCCTAAACTAAACGCTTGTTATCCGTTACTACATGAAATATCCGTATGATCTCTGCCCAACATAAAGATCTGTAGATATCTGAACTGATAAGTAAATATATGTTTATTTGTATCTGCACGTTCTTCAGCATCATCTGGTAGTTTTGTATTACTGAGCTTTTCGAAGCTCACTCTATTACTCAACATCGCAGGTTAAAAGAATTGTACCAGTGCAGCTATCGACTTCATCAAGAGAGTTTTTCCGGCGTTGCTTGCAGAGTATGGTAAATGTGATTAGGGGGCATGTAATTGTATTGTTTTATATACGAGTCTGAAAATCTGTTTTATTTCTGCATACTGATAAATCATTTTATAAGTTACATGTTTTAATAAAAGTTTTAAAATTTCCACTATTTTTACAGTGGGTCGCTTCGGTGGCCCTAATGTGACACTCCAGATCGGATCGGGTTACCCGCATCGGTATGAGGGGGTTACATTATCATTTTAAGTATATCGATAGTTAGAGGTGGAACTAGAAAAATTGTTTTGGGTGTCAAAATTTATGAAAATTTATATTGGGGTTTCAAATTTAAAAATTGTATAAAGAATTTTTTAAGTGGATGTAAATTTATATTTAAAAATGCTAATATTATTTTAAAATATCTTTATTTTATTTTTTTAAAATTTTTATATTAAATTTATATATGAAAAAATCTTTAAAAATTTTGAGGTGTCATTTGACACTCTTTGTTCTATGATGGCTCTGTCAGTATCAATCGTAACGGACGTTAAAAAAGTTTAAATGGCACAACACATACCTGTAAACTCAGCTACTCAAACCCAAAATCTTAGAAAGAACAATACTTCCTTTAATCATTAAGGTTGTTTAATATATTTTTTTTATACTAATACTTTTCTTAAATGTCATTGAATATTCTATATTTTTATATCTAAGTTGATGGTTTTGGTATATGAATATATCACAGCCGCCCATTGTTTTTTTCAAAACAAGCTTCCATATCTAACAGTTGTTTATTTGAAGACACTAACTTCTTTCAACAAAAAAGGAAAAAGAAAAAGGAAACTATCCCAATTAGGGTCGTTTGGTTGGGGATGTGAGATTCCCATGGGAATGGAATCCACATTCTCCCGTTTGGTTAGTCGGGAATCTCATTCCCGGTAATGTAAGATTACCAATAGTAAATTTTTTGGGGTATATTACTGAGAATATCATTATCCCCATTTCCTTAGGTATTGTTGGATTACCGGCGTTTTGGACTAAAATGCCCTTAATTTTTTTTCTTCAAAAATATCATTCTTCTGTCATTGAATAATAAAAATTCTACGAAGGTTAAATTACAAATTTATCCTTAAACTATTTTAGATTTACAAAAAAAGTCTATAATTAAAATTTTATATGAAGTTCAGGGGTTAAAATAAAATTTTACCCTTTCATTAAAACTTTTTATATTTTCAATTTTGTAAAAAAAATTATATAAATTATATAAATTTAATTTTTTAAAAGAAAATATATAAATATTTTACAATTTGTTAAAAAAATATATATAATAAGGACAATTTGGTCAAATATACATTCCAATAATCTTTTTTTTCTTTAACCAAACATGGTAATCTTACATTCCTGCTAAACCAACCAAACACAAAATATAACATTCTCAGTAATCATATTTTGTGGTAATCTTATATTCCCACTGGTAATCTTATATTCCGTGAATCAAACGCAGCCTTAAGATTATGAAAACTTTAGTAACCAATTTAACCTCAGTGGATGCTTAGAGTCATAGGGTCGACCCTTAACTGGCGCATTCTCAAGTTTATTTAAAGTAAATTATATCAATGATCATTAAAGTTAGTATTTTTTTTCTTTTGAAATTTTAAAATAAGTAATTGATTAATCTTATTATTGATTTGTAACAAATTAATTATTACATTGTCATTCCTATTCAATTAATGATGTGATATCGTTAATAAAAAATTAATATTCAATTTTCCTCCTAAATTTCTGTTAAAACATTAAATAAGTTATTGAAGAATTATTTTATATTTAATTTATCCATAAACTTTTTAACCAAATACTACACCTCTTCCACTATATTCGAACCATCATCCTTACGGAATGAAAACCACGCTTAACTGTTCATTCTTAACGTTACAGGGACACCGGACATGCATTATTGTTAATTAATTTCATGTTCAACCACCAAATTAAGATTTGCAAGTTATCCAAGCAAATGCAGTAATCAAACTGCTTTCCCCTAGGCCTGTACTTACGAGTAAGTGAGCAATTATCTCTGCCCAGTGATGGTGTCTACTTCACCCATCCATTGCAACAACAACCAGACTCAATAATTTTCTGTGAAATGAACTTAAAACTAATGCAAAAAAAGTAGCCAAAACAAGCTACCATTGGGCATGTAATCGTAGACCAAGAGCTTCTTCTCCATGACAAAATAGTAGGCTTTCAATCTAACCAAATGGGGATGCCTTAACATTCCCACAACTTCCATTTTTTGCTCAAATTCTCTCATCCCACCCACGTTTGCGTCTTTCAATCTCTTCACGGCCACCACATTTCCATCGTCCAGCACTGCTTTGTACGTCGTCCCCAACCCACCTTTCCCTAACATTTCAGCCAAAGCTCTCAACAAATCCTCTAGCTCAAACCTCCGACAATGTTAGGGTTTCGAGTTTTGTTGGAGTTTCGAATCGCCGACAATGAGCTTGGACATTAACGACCACGCTAATTGATGTTTTAACAGATGGGGTCTATGAAGCTATAATAGTTGAGATTCGATCTAACAATAACCTATTTGATGTTTTAGCATAGGTTTAGAGTTAAAACTAAATATTAATCATTTTATTAACGATATCACATCATCAATTTAATGGAGATGACGGTAGAGTAACCAATTTGTTATAAATTAATAACATCAGTGACTAATTTGTTACAAATAACGTTAATGACCAATTTATTACTTTAAAACTTCAATAGGGAAAACGAAAATTTACTTAATGATTAGTGACAATTGATAGTTTACCCTTCATTTTATTTTGTAAAATAAAATAAAAACTAAAATTGTCAAGGCATTGTCCATTAGGGATGAGCGTTCGACGAGTTGAGTCGAGTCAAAAAATTTCGAGTAATTTGAGTTGACGAGTCTTATTTTTTAATTTGAAGTTGTCTTGAAATTTTTTCGAGTCAAATTAATTTTTTTTAGTTTTTGTTTAATTATTATAAATATGTATAATATTATGACATTATTTGATTTCAATTTAAATGACTTTTCATAATCATATACATATACATATATTTCTTTCATATTTTTTCATATATATATATATATATATATATATATATAAAGTCGAGAGGCTAGACTCAAATTTAAAAATCAATACATTAATTATTAAAAAATTTAAATTATTCGAGTTAAATTTTACAACTCAAAACTAATTCAAGTTAAGTATTTTTAATCAAATTAAATATAAAATTAATCAAATCAAATATAAAATTAATCAAATCAAATCGAATTTTATTAACCATATCACAATCGGATAGATCGATCCCGTCCTTCCCTTTTTCAAGCTTTTGGAAGTATTCTATGGTTATAAATAACCTTTATTTTATATACGAAAAAGTATTTTATTAGCCGACAATGTTATCCATTTTTAGATGAGGCTAGTAAATGACAAGAGTCGTTTACTTTAGGGAGATAAAGACGTAATAAAAATACCCCTCTTTAGTCTTTAACTCTTTTTCAAATAAATCACAATTCAATAACATATTTAAAAATATGGCTTAAATATACAAAAAGTACCCAATTTATGTCCGCTTTTCTAATTTAGTACCAAACATTTATTTCGTTTCAGTTTGATGTCTAACGTTTCATTCCATTACTCAAAATGAGTCAACTGTTAGTTTTCTCCTTTAAGTGACACGTGTCATAATCTTGTAATTTTGAAATTCATCTTTTTAAAAAATTAAAAAAATTATAATATTTATATAAAAAAACCCTTATTTCTTTTAAATTACAAAAAGCCTCAAAATCCTAACATTAACCCGCCGCCGCCACCCTTTCCGATCACAACTACCGCCGCCGACGTAGTCCTTATCATCATCCTAATTATAAGTCGACGCAGTTGTCGTCCATTGGCCTTCGAAATCGCTTGGGATTGCGATTTTCATCCTATGGTTCGCGAGGTATAAAATGTCGATTCGCCGTCGATCGACTGTTGGTCAGTGACGATTTCATAGGGGTTTTGGTTGCCGGGGGAAGGTGAGGTCAGGTGGAGCTTCGTCAATGGAAAAGGGTGGCGGTCGGCGTGGGTTTAGGGGTTGAAATGAAGGTTTTCAAAATTCTAGGTTATTTCAAATAACAATGATCCAAGTATTTCTTTTTTACACTATTTCAAATAACAAGGATCTGTTAAGAACTTTCTTAATTAGTTGATAGTGTACATTTTAGATGTAATTATTCAAATCTAAATTTTTTTATAGAGAACTATGTTTTCTTTTACCACTATGTGATTTGATGGGTTGATTCAAATTCATGATTTTAAGTATTATATTTCCTACTCATATGATTTCTTTGGAGCATAAGATATGCAGACTTCGGACTTTGTTTAAAGTGATTAAATATACAATGGGAGGTTGCTTGAGTTTTCATTTGAACTTGAATTCTCAAGCATCTAGCTTAGTTAATTGTATGGATGGTGGGTTTGGCACTCCATTAACACCCAATTCCTTCTCCATCACTTCAGCTTCAAAAGTGGAGTGAACTCCATACAACACGTAGAACACTGTTATCAAACACGCCCACACACCAAACCTTTGGAACGACAGCTTCTTCAGTGTTGTCATAAGGAAGACATTCAGGAAAACGGAAACCGCCGCCGGCCAAGGCATGAACGGCACCGACCACTCACCTGTCTGACCTACGCAAGGGACCCTGTACTGGAACAAGGCCGTCATGGTGACCATGAGGCCACCGAATAGAGGCAAACCCCACCATTGTTGTTTTAGTTTCCATGACATGGAGAAGCCTATGGCGGTTAATGTGAGGAGGAAGAGGAAAGAGAGTGTTTTGAAAGGTGGGTTTTGGGTTTTTATCACATATCTTCGGTAGATCGTAGCGTTGGCCACCATGTAGAACACCAACAGTGTGCCGATTGAGATCATGCCCATCACTATTTCCAGGTCTGTGAACAGTGCTATTGATGCCGTGCAAAGCCCTACATCAATTGGACATGGATTAATTCTCTTTGCTTCTTAAATCACACATAATACAAAGTGTGAATTTTATTACTAGTTTTCCTTTCTCACTACGCAACGGATTATATCAATAATATAAATTTTTGTATGGACTGAACACAAATAAAATTTTATGATGGACGAAATAGACAATTAATAAAAAATCGGATTTCAGTGTCCACCCTAAACAACACCTACATCCCCCACTGCTCGTGCCTCCATTTTCTTTTGTCTAATGATAATTAAACTTTGTTCCAAGGTTTTAGATTTCCATTAACTTTGAAGTTAGATGATTTAACTCTTCTCATTGTCCAATTATGATTTCATTTCCGTATATACTTCTTGTTGATCATGAACTGATGATGATATATATAAAGATTCGCACTAAATATAATTTTAAAATACAAATTATAAGTGCCTCTTTTATGCTCAACCAAGGTAGAATAATAAAAAAATATAAATTAATAAAAATTTTGGTGGTTAAATTTTAGGAATCACCTAACTACTCTCACCAAATCCCACACCCACCCTTCCTTTGAAGATAAGAAAAAGGAAAGAAATTCCCATTAGTAGTGTGATTGTGAAGTGTGAGTTGTTGTTGGTGAAGAAAGAGTTAAAAGAAATAGGGAAAATGGAGATAAACATACCCAAAAAGAGTGTGGCATTGAATGGGGTGCCTCTTGATGGATGCACATTAGATAGCCAAAAAGGCACTAGCCTTGCCCTTCCTATAACACACAGGTACCTGGCTTGGCCTAACATGGCAACCAAGAGAGAAGCAACAATCCCCATGCTTGCTCCGGCCCCTACAACATTCCCCGCCCACTTCCACCCAATGTTTTGGAATGCCATCGAATATGATGCCTTTTCACCTATCTAACCACACAATGCCATAAACATCAAGTTTGCTCTTCTAAAGAGGTAATTTGTTTATTGAATTAAGATGATTGACCTGATTGTAAGGAACCATCATACATAGAGCCAAGGCCATGAGACAGTAAAGTGCTGAAACAATGACAACTGACCCCACTATGCCCACCGGAAGGCTTACGGGTGGGTTTTGGATCTCTTCAGCCATGGTTGAAACTGAGTCATAGCCTATGTAGCTGAAGTAAACTATGGCTGCTCCATCAAGCACGCCTTTAATACCATTAGGAGCTATCCCTCCTGGTTTCACCAAATTTTCCACTCTCCCATTGCAGAACCCCACAATTAAGATGAATCCGAATAAAATAACATGGAAGATTGTCATAATAAGGTTCAAGATTGAGCTTTCCTTTGTACTGAAATCCCAAAAAAAGAATATCTATCACTTTCAAAATCCATTGAAAAATACAATCAACTATTGTTTTTCTTTGTCTGCAACTCACCAATATAAAAAAAATAGTGAAAAGAGGATAATAGAACTAAAAGCATCAATGATAACATTAGAAAACTTGTAATGAACATAGATCCAAGGACACTAATAGTTTCCTTTCCAGCAACCAAACCCCAATTATCCAAGCCACTAATATGTGGCAAAATTCCTTAGATAATGTGGTGGAAAAAAATTCGCTCATTGATGGTGTTGGAGAAATTATTTGTTAAGATAAAATATTTGTTACATTGTCATTAGGAAGACACAGACTACATAACGTCTTTGGAAAGACGCTTGAAATATAGATATCTTCCAAGAATTTTGGGCCCACTAGTGGACAAGCAACTAAAATAAATGCTCCACTTAACTCACTCACTATATTGTTAAAGAAATATATGGCTGCAAAACACTTGGCTACCGTAAGATGATTAGTAGAATTAGTAGCAAACAACATAAAAAAGAAAAATTTTGAAGTAGGAAATCAGACCTATGGCATAGAGAGAGAGTAAGAAGAAGAACAAGAGCAACAGCAATGAAATCCAACTTGTTATAGCCTTCAACCAGTCCATGAACTTCCACTCTCCAGGAATTTGGATCACTTACTCCAAAGGCTGAGCATAAATACTCTGTGAAACTTCTTGCCACTGCTGCGTTTGATAATACATACTCCATAAGTATGTTTGCTCCAGCAAAATACCCCACAAATTCTCCTACACCATTTCCAAAACCAAGAATGGTAAATGAATAAGTCTACACAGAAATCATAGTTAACGTAAATAATATACCAAAAGTGACTCTGAGGTAACTGAAGGCACCGCCGGCAACAGGAATCTGGACTGAGAATTCAGTGTAACACAAAGAAGAGAGAAGTGCTGATATTCCAGCAATGATATAAGAAATGAAGACGGAAGGACCGGAGGTTTTGCGGGCAACGGGGCCAGTGGTGACGAAAACACCAACACCAAGCATTCCACCTATGCCGAGAGCTACTAAATCAAACCACCTAAGTTTCCTCTTCATATCAGCACCAGACCTTAGCCTGACTTGGTTAAGCTCTTGGTCTGGGGTCCATGTTGCAAGCATTCTCTTTCTGAGCCTATGAGGGGTTTGGGAAAGAGATTGAAGATAGTTGGAGATGAAAAGTTTGGTGTGTGTGGATTCAACGCTTGCCATGTTTGTGAAGGAACTCAGTGCCTTTGTGGCCTTCAAATGACAAGCTTGAGGTCAGGGTTTAAATATGCATTTAACAGAGAGAGAGAGAGAGAGAGAGAGAGAGAGAGAGAGAGAGAGAGAGAGAGCATAACGATATATTGACTATTTGCTAGATTCCCTTTTTCTTTGTAAAGTATATGATTGATGGAGAAAGAACCAAATTGGCCATCCTTTAGCTTTATTGAAAATACCATCTTGTCCTTGAGTTTATTTTGAATCTACAAATCTACCCCTTTAGTTTTTTTATAGACCCAAGACTAGTGGTGTGCAAAAATATCCGACCCGGTTGACCCGACCTGTCGACCCGGATCTAAAAAAATCGAATAATTTTCTAAAAAATACCAGGCCGATCGGGTACCCGACCCGACACTTTTCGGGTCGGGCCCGAGTCACAAAAATTGATTTTTTCAGGTATCCAATTACCCGAGTATCCGGTTAAGTTTATATATATATATATATATATATATATTTAATTTATAAAATATTATAACCAATCTTCTTCTTGAACTCTATTCCGACAAACATCTAGTTCCAGATTTAAATAAATTAAGGGTTGTTTGTTTGTATCTGGAATCATTCAGTGTTCAGCATTCAGCGCGTTTGTTTGCACTTCTGAATGATTCAGTGCTGACTGATTCATAAAATAGTGTTGAATGATTCAGCACAGAAGTACATTCTGAATCATTCAGAGCCAGTTATCAAACAACATGTCATATTCAGAGCCTCTGAATTATTCAGCATTTGAATCATTCAACGCTTAATCATTCTGAAGTAAACAAACAACCCCTAAATAAAGTTCATTCCTAGCCGATTTGAAAAAGTTAAGTCAAAATAGGATGCATGCTCATGTCTATTGATTCTGGTTATTTGGATTAGCTTTTCCTGCCTTGATTATTATATACTCACTTGATGCTCTGGTAAGATGGCTTTTCCTGGCACTAATAGTGAATTGTTTGTTTTCTGATGATGGTTTTGTTGATATTTGAGAAATGGATCTTCTTTTCTTTGATATGGATTATTAAAATATATACAACCATATCAGCTAATAGGTAATAATCTCTGTCATTGTTACTATCAGACTGAAATTGAATATAAACTTTTAGTTATGAACTTTTATGTTTTTTTATATTATAGATTATTAGATTTTGTATTTTGAACTTTTAAATTTTGTGTTTGAATGTTGTACTATGTAATTCGAAGTTTCGAACATTTAATTTTTGTTTTTTTTTTTAATTTAATAAATTTTTGAAAAAATTCGAATATCCGAGTACCCAACATACGGGTACTCAAAACATCCGAATCGAGACACGGACAGAGAAATCACCAACCCGGATGTTTCAGGTACGGGTGTACAAATTCGGGTACCCAGTAATCGGGTGTTCTGTTATATATTTATGAGCCAACAACAAACTTCATCACTCAATTTTTTATCTTACTCTCGTTTTCATCATTAAACTTTAAATTTTTTAATTTGATCATTAATTTTAAAGATTTTTTTTAAAACATTCTGTCGTTATTTAAATAATAAAGACGCACAAAAATTAATTAATATTAATTTGTAAACTTTTTTGTTGGTTTGTTTTTCTAAAAAAAATCATGGGTTTGAATTGATTGATTGTTAAGAAGATTGAAGTGATAAAAACTATTCATCTATCATTAAAAATGCACTGGTCACCAAAACTAATTAATTATTTTCTATCCATCGTCTCACCAAATATTGTTATGGGAAAAAGCATAATCAACTTAGAAAAATGGAACATTTTATGTCATTTCAAGTTCTTCAAATATGAAAATGATCACATTTTAATAAAAAAAAACTTTTCAAAAATAACATAAAAGAAGAAAAAAAATTCATCTTCAACTTTGGTTGGTATCGACGATTGGAGTTTTCGTTTGAAGGTTCAAATGGTGGAGATATCCTCTTAGAGAGGAGAGCAATATATTTATGTTTGGGTTCCATACAACGATTGATGATGAAGATAAAAAAAGCAAAACGTTCAATAATAGATTCGTAGAGTTTGAGATTTTGTCTAGTTAAACAAACACTAGATTTATGTTTAGGAGGTTGAAAACGAGTTTGGTAAAAAAAATTGGGACTACTAAACGTTTATGACGGTAGTCAATGGTGGAAAGAATGATAGATGGTATGACTGTCAGTCACGACGAGAAGTGATCAAAATCCGAGTTGGTTCAGACAGAAGAAAAGAAAAGGAGAAGAAGATAAAGAGAGAAGAAAAGAGAAAAAAATTGAAGAAACAAGAAAAGAAAATGACTTTTATAGGATCTAAAAAGATAATGTTTTAGCGAATTTTTTAGAATATAAACAAAATTGTTTTGGTGTAAGTTGTTTTATCATCAAATGTTTGTGATTTATTGTTCGAGTGATAAAAATAAAATAATTCAAAAATTTAGTGATCAAATTAATTTTTTTAAAAATTTTAATAAGTAAAATAAGAGTGAAATAAAAATTATAATTGATCATAATATATTTAGAAGCATGCAAAGGAAAAAGGGCAACGTGTTTTGTGAGAGGAATAACAATATTTAGAGTGAGAGAGTTTGACCTGATCTATAGGAATTTGCTCATCTGAAAAAGAAGTGAGAAGCATCCCCATCCACTTTGTTAAAAGCAAATTGCTTCACCATCAGTTTTCAACAATAATTGGACTACACATCACAATACAGCAAAAACTTCTTCCACGAAATCTTGAATTTCTACAGTGTATTTTCTCTAATTATTTTACCAAAACTGCAGTAACCGGTGCTGACCCATTTTTCTCATGTGTTAATATTCAAGATGATACCATTCCAGTTTATCATGAAAAATGTATATTTATATAATATTTGCTTATGGTGAATTATGTGGTACCTTCTATGATATAATCAACTCTCTGATCAAATACTACATGTAAAAAGGCTTTTTTAACGGCTAGTGACATAACTTGGTAATAGAGTTTGATATAGTTAGTTTAAAACTTTAAAAAAAAATTAAAGGTTTAAATTAACATTTTTAGAATTTTTGAAGGGTATAATTTATATTTTTTCCAAAAAAATAAGGATCTAACTAAAACTTTTAAAATTTTAAGAGGCTTAATGAGGATTTTTAAAAATTATGTGAGGTGTTTAATTTAGATCATTAAAAAAACTTAAAGTTTAATTTGAATTTCTAAAAATTTTGAGGGGAACAAATTAAAATTTTTAAAATTTTAAGGGTTTAAATTATAATTTTTTTAAATTTTGGATGGTCATGGCTCTCACTAATCCCTCTTGTGTTAGCCACCGCCAACAACAAGGCCTAGGTTAATATTCAGAGTTGAATATCGATCATGCGATTAACTAGGGGTGAGCATTCTGTTGTCTAGTAAAAAATTTTGAGTTGATGAGTTATATTTTATAACTCAAACTTTATTTAAAATATACTCGAGTCAAGTTTTAAAATTCGAGTCGAATTGAGTTTTTTGAATTTGTTGAAATAAACTGTTGTAACTTAAAGAATCAAATATAAAAGTTTGCCTTATTGCTTTTTGGAGCTACTTTGTTCATCTTTGGTGCAGCAGCAGCGCGGTGTTGTTTTAGCTGGTGTGGTGTACTCTTGCTGCTGTATAGTCTTTTGCTTGGTTCGTGTTGCCTCTTTTGTGGGCTGTTGTTGCCGTGTGGTTCAAACTTGATGGAGTGCCTCTTGAATTTGTGCTAATGGGGTGGTGTATGTGTTGTTTCTGGTTGTCTGTGAGCTGCTGTGTATACAGCCTTGTTGTTTCCAAATTCTGACCTGTCAATTCCTACTATATGGTGCACTCTTTTTTCTCTATTTAAGAATAAGAAATTTTTTATTTTAAATAAGGCTCATGTTAGTTGTTTTTTTTTGTATTCTTTTGGTAATACAAAACTTTGTTTTTAAAAAAGAAAAAACATATATCACAGAGTTGAGAGACTTGACTCAAACTTAAAAATCGATCAACTAATTACTAAAAGTTTTGAGTTATTCGAGTTCTATTTTGTTGGTAATGCTCAATCTCACATAGTATTGGAAACACTATTGGGAATAGTATTTAAGGCTTGGCTTTCCCACTTCCTTGTTGAGTGATAGAAAACAAGGGGGACTCTCGCGCACCGCCGCCGCCGTCCGTCCGTCTCGTCTCGTGGTCGTGGTTCATCTAGACGTTTCAGCTGTTACAAAAGAAGAGATTTAATCCTGAAATTTTATGGACGATTTTAACCCTATTTCCAGCAGTCCACTCCGATTTCGGGTGTACGAAATTCGGAGCGTCCGTGTTAACCTCGGGGGACGGTCCGCCTACTGCAACGATTACACACATCGGGGCGAATTCGTTTCTAAGGCAGTGGTTTTTACCACGACACGGTTTACGAATTTGTTCATTTTAATTACTGTTTATATTTCTAGTCAATGCTAACGGTGTAGTTTTGCAGTTCATATATCCAACATATTTTATAACCTGAATCAGATTTGAAACCTTTTCAAGTCAAATTGAATTTATAAATTTATTAATCGAATCAATTTGATTAAAATAAAAAAATAATTTTTCAAATCAAATCGAGTCTTATTCAATCCTACCGCTAAGAATATGTATTACAATTTGTAAATCTTGTGCCAGCTGATGCGTATCGCATTTTTCTCATTCAGAAACCAAAACTTTCGGCGCTTCATGTTACTATACTTCATTAATGGCCGTTCCAACAGCTAGGCTGTATACATCTTTTGTTCACCATTTGATGCAATGTGGTTAGGTACTACGAATGGCTGTCCCTTTTTCTCATATATATGTATGGGGTAAGGGGGAAGTAAGATAGTAGGTTATCCCCAACACCAGGTTGAGAGCAGCTTCCGTAAGAGACCTCCGAATTATGAAATGCCTTCCGTGGGACACGATCCCATGACCTCAAGATTAAGAACCTTGTGCTCTACCAACTGAGCTGGATGGTCATTTCAATGGTTAGATACTACGATTTTATGTTAAAAGAAATGAATTTATAAAATTTTAAATAATAAGTTATCAATTT